GTTATTTTGAGTCTGTTAAAAAAACAGGTTGAGGTGCTGCTCAGGCAGAGCATTCACTTGCTTATTATGTACAACATCCTGTGTTTGACCCCCAGCGATGCAAATAAAAATAAGAAACATAAAAGCAAGGCCCCCTCAATAGAAAACTAACTAATATTCAAAGTGAGATATTAAATAAAAATTGGAAACAAAAAGAAAATCCATAAAGTCATTGCATTAAATTAAAAAACTATATTATACCAAAATTACTAGCACTGTCACTGTTTTTCTAGAAGTTCTTAGTTACTTTTAAGCTTTACTTCCTATACTCTGCATCCTGACAAGCTCATACAAATGCAGGAAGGCTCCCATGCACATTGCACATGCCCTCTGTTTAGTTCTGGGGTCTTTTGTAGCTTGTCCCCTCTTTCCCTCTCTCTCAAAGATGCCTACTGAGTTCCTTCAAACCAACTAAGATAATGCCCTTTACATATTTCCGAGAATGCACAATATTTTACCGTGGGGCTGTGATACCCATGCTTTTGGTAGTCTTTCTTATTTTTTTAATCATTGATTTACTATTGCATCAGTGCTGCAAAAAATACTTTGCTATGATTAGTTTCAAAGTGGTTCTCAGTCACAAATGATATTTGTGCTCCAGGGGACATTGAGCAGTGTCCAGATACATTTTCTGCTGTCAAAAAGGAAGGGGTCATAACTATGTTATTTGAAGTGTTCACATACACTGGACTTCATTTCTGGTTCATTCAACCAGGGATAACTGAGCGTTTATCACCTGCCAGTTGTCAACGGAACAGTATAAGTTATATTCTAGTGTGCAAAGTCTTGATCAATTTAATTACTATTTTTTTTTCATGTGGTATTTTCTGCATGTGTATAATATGATTTTCAGTTCTTTAATTTTCTTTTTTCTTTTAGTTTGGAAAACCATGAAAAAGAAGCCCCAGGGGTGGGGTGTTTGTTAGTGTAGAGTGCCTACATGAACAGAAAATGTGTGAAGTTACACCTAGCATAACACTCTTTCTCTCTCTGTCTTTCTTTCTTAAAAAGCACTTCCTGTTTACTTTCTCTGGTGGTATGTTCTTTTGTTTTCCTGGGCTCCTTGAACTTATGTTTATGATATATCTTGATTTCTTTTTTGAATAGCATTGTTAAGGTATAATTAATACTTAAAGGACCACATGCATTTAAAATGTACAATATGAGATGCATATGAAAATAGAAATACGCATATGCAAATATAGGCCATACCCTCTGCAAAAAGAAAAAACAGACCTGTGATTCGTCTATCTACATATGTTCTTTTCCCATCATTGGGATGTAGGAGCTTTTGTTGCTGAGGCCTGAGCAGTGCCTGGAATGTGGCCAGCACTCCCCAAGTGCTCTTCCATGGTAAGAAATCATTTTTACTTAAACAGATACTGCATGAGCTCTTGGGGAGAAGACTTAGAGTGAGATGGGAATTTATAAACAGTAATGGTGACAGGGAAGCCCTAGGGAACAAGACCAGAAACAATAGAAAAAAATTTCTTTATTGGAAAATAAAAATTGTAACATTTAATTATATCTGTAGTGTCCATATGTGTGAAGAATAGTCATGTATTTATTCTCTTTCTGGTAGTGACACCCCGTCATGGAACCAGGAAACAATACAAGAATTTCAGAATT